TTGTACATCCAGTGGAAAAAGACAGTTAAAAACATCACAAGTTGACTCAAAACTCTGTCAGCTTCAGCTGTCAAAGTAAACAACTTTCAAGATGCTGCATAAATTTTACGCATGAGCTCACCTGTCAAATTTTAACCAATCAGAGCATGAAAATTGGACATGGAGCGTGACCAACACGTGACCATGGTAAGAAAAGGTCTTCCCCGCATGTATTTAAAAAAAAACTGGCTGAGTTTTTGCGTCCGAGGTCAGTTTGACATCAAAATCGTAATAGTGTGGGGCGATACTGACATAAACAAGAGAAACAACATATTTGATGCAAAAATTGGGATGAAAAAAAAAGTAAACGTGAACCTGACACAAACAATCATTTTTGAAAACGTGAACCTGCAATCATTTGAAAACGAGTAAATTGTCAGCGGATAACTTCAAAAAATACTCGACCTTGATGGTCGACACCTGAGCCCGCGATACGGTCAGGTGATACTGGTCAGCGGATACCCTGTTTTAAAAGCTGTCGATTGAAGACAACATTGATGTGCAATCAGCTTTCTCCTGGGCTCCCAAAAGTAGGCTTTTTTACGTTTTATCAGGAGCCCATCTCCATTAATTTCTTGAGTCAACCCTTTCCCGAGTAGATTTATAAATAGAACGGCTTGTTTTCCGCGAAAAGTGTCAATTTCCGTGAGTCTCGTTTGTCAGCGTGAAAAAAAAATGAAGTTGAATGAAGTCGAACTCAGAAGCCCGTCCTTCGACCGTTTTTCTTTTTTGCTATACTTCCATTTTTACAATTTTACAGCCGCTGGGATCTGGGTATCATGAAATAAAAGTTACTGAATTACCCGACTTAGACTGAGCATGAAGCGACAAAGGCATCTAACTGAGGATCACGGAAAGATTATCTTTGCGAGTGTGGTTTTTTTTTTTTTTCCGTCATGAATCCCACATTCAAGCATGCACCTTGAAAAGAGTCGACGATTAAGCGTTCTTTGGACGGTTTGGAACTTTTCGATGATCAGCGCCGAAAGAGTACCAGGATCATTTGGTTTCTGTCATCACCGTGGAGTGGATTTCGCCAGTTAAGCACCGCGTGCAAAAGCGATGACCTAAGCAGCAACTATAAACGAGGAATGCTTCAGTTCCGAAATTTGAGAAATTGCAGTCTTCCTTTACAACTGACTTGTATCACCATGAGAGCTGCCTGATAAAACTGGCACTTGAAAAGTTGAACAGAAGACAACAGTTGCTCGACCGTGAAGCTAACTCAAAAGTAATTTGCTTACGGAGGAATTTGTGACATCGCGCTCCAGTCCAAAGACCCACTTATCTCAAGATAAACAAAATGGATTGTATCTGCACCAAAAGAATTATGACTGACTGACAGGACAATTCTCAGCACTTAATGTGGAAGTTTAGGCTCAATTCTTTCCTTCGAATTCGCATCTGTAGATCACTGTTTTGCGAAAAAACAATGGCTGGGCCTGGCGTTACAAAACATAGCAGGGAATCATCACACTAGCTGACGGACAAAACAACCACAAGGACTACAAGTATTTATTCAGATAAACGCATTTCGGAAAAAAAAAAACCTTGAAAAACTAGAAATTTGATTAATATTGAGTCATTTAGCTGAAATAAGAACCTAACGCTCAAAAAAACGAATCCTATCAGAACTACAGACTGCAGGTAGTAGTTAATCATTATGCATGTAACAGACCAGCTTCAGGGCCTCTTAATGTGAGACAAGCAACCAAAATTAAAATTAACATAGTCAGGGTTTAAAACTCTCCACAGTATAATCTACCCGCTAGAAAGAAAAGAAAGAAAATCTCTGAGGGGTGAAAAGCGAAAGTCACGTTTCACTAGCTTATGATTATGTTTGGCCTGTCAACACCGAATTACCTACTGTTTGATGAAGTACAATAGCAGTGTCATTTCGTCGTTGTGATTGGCGCTTCACCGTCGGCGCGCGAAGTCTCCCCTAGGAACCGTTCTAATTATAAATCTAGTCGGGAAAGGGTTGACTCCAAGGGCTTGTATGGGAGATGGAGGCTCCATTTGTTGGGCTCCTGGTTTTATGAACTTCAAAAGGAGGAATTATAGCTTTCCTCCTCCATCCCTTCCGTACAATGTTGTGCCCTTGTTCTAGCTACCTATAAAAAATAACAAACACCCCAACTTTGAATGGAGGGGACAGGGGAGGGGTGCGGATTATTTTGTTCTCCGAAGTCACCCTATTTAAGTACAATGTCTCAACAATTTTGTCGCCGATTGTAAGAAAGTGTGAGAGTAAACATTGGTATGCCTGTGGTGCGGACGGACGGACGGACGGTCGGTTGGTCGGTCACGTGATTATCAAATTTTCTGGGATGGGTAGATTTACCCATGGTGCTACGCTGGCGCGCTTCGCGCTCGGAGCTCCGCTAAAATCAAGCTAGTCATCTCACAACTCACTGACTGGAATACTCACACGGCAAAATGCATGGTATGTTTCGATTTATTTTTATTTTTATTTTTTATTTCAACTAGGTCAGGCTTTAGCAAATCACACGTCATGTACTCTTGGAACAGCGATGCCAGAATTCTTTCTCTAGTCTTTATTTTTGTTACCTCCGCAAATTGCGGTAAGTTTACTTATTTTTATAACTTTAACCCTCGAACGTAGACGCAAAGTCATACCCCCACCGTGGTACAAGAGAAGGGGTTGATGAAACCCCTCTCTAGAGTTTTTGATATGTTGCAGTATTTCGAAAAGATTTTTCCTTCAGTGGAAGACATGCCAGTTAAATTGGTAATCTATTGCACAGAATGTATATGGCACCCTTAACTTGTTCTCCTTAATTTCTGTCGAAGTGTTCACATGAGAAAATGTTGAGCCTAGAGGTTGGCTTGTACTCAATGAAACAAAGAGAGGCAGGCCTGAGGAAAACAAGAAGGGGCTAATTAGACAGACACTGGCTATATTGTATACTTATTTAATAGTTTTTTACTGGTGTTGTTTACAGTAAATCATTGTTGTTATTCGTGGGCTAGATACCTAAGCCAAAGTTATTTCTTATTACTCCTTTAGCTTCAGGAAAGCAGAGTAACGAAACTAAAGTCGAATCTGATTTAAGGTTAGTACGTTAAATATTCAAGAACTATATTGATTGACACTCGAGTGTTGACTTCTTATTCGCCACTTTGAGGTTGCGCGGGAGACCGGGTAGAGATGGTTTTCAAGTGCATTGTGGGACATTAAAGACGCTGTAGACTACCTAAACACACGAAAGAGCACACCAAGAAGGATTCTATATAACAGATATTTTGTGGAAAATCTGAAAATTCTGAACTTTAGCCAAACTTAAGCGCCAAACTTTAATTTTTAAAGCGTTCTCAAACTCATCAACAATCCATAAAGAAAATACGAGGGAAATTAATGTTTACTGAGTGATGATGAAAAACTGCTCATTTTGCATCCTTAATTTCTCCTGGTAAAATCATCGTTTGAGAAGCAATATCAAGCATTCGAGACAGTGTTTCATCACCAGATGAAACACCTCGAAGTTCGTCAAAAATACTTAACTCTTTTCTTAGATGTTTCATCTGGTAATGAATCTCGTGCTTCAAATTTTACGTTAAAAGTTCAGGATTGCGAACGTAATTCGTTACCCATGATTTTAATACCTTAAACCACTGAAATGGTATACTCTTGAAATTAGGGCATAATTTGACACCCTACGGCCCGTTTTGTCCAAATCTAAGAATTTCCCGAGCCTTTAAACGCGCCCAAAATTATTCCCTAATTTTAATTGCGTCACCATTTAATTACACATACTAACATGTCTACCAGTTTTTATTGGCGGATTCATCGTGACGTCATTGTCTACATTTTTGCTCATTAGCATACGAGTTAACCCGTATAGGAGATGTAACCGAATTTACCAATTAGGTGTACCGTATTTATTCGAATAAGCGCCCAACCTCGAATTAACGCCCACCTCGAATAAGCGCCCATCTTAAAGGCAGAAAAAGTTAATAAGCGCCCAGCCTCGAATAAGCGCCCACCCCTCCTCCCCCCAATCAAACTCAACTAAGCGCTCACCCCCACCCCACCCACTTGAGTGAATAAATTCTAATAAGAGACTTCCCCGAGGACGGAGTTTTCTTCAGAGTATTTTACAGAAACATTGCTTTGTTACTTCTTCGAGTTTTGTTATTAGCATTTATTGTTTTGTTGCAAAATAAACATACTTCACGTGCTGAAAATGGTGAAAATTTAATAAGCGCCCAGCCTCGTATAAGCGCCCACCTCGAATAAGCGCCCAGGGCGGTTAATCGAATAAATACGGTAATTTAAAAGAGCTGGTTAATTTATGCAGTTTGTGCAAGTTTCAGCTCTTTGTAATTAGTAACAAAGGAAACAGCAGCAATTGAGAACTACAAAATTATTGGGTGACAAAACGCTAATGAGATCATGTATTCTTTGTAAATTTTGGGGTTCTTCAAAAACAATTTCGGGGCACAAACTTGCCGCCATGTTGAAAATGCCTCCCCCAAAAGATTCCTCCGAAACTATTTGGTATATCGGACTCAAATTTTCAGGGATAACTGAAATTAATTCTTATTCTCTTTCAATATTCAGGAATTTCAATTTATTAGCTTCATCAGATAATGATAAGCCTACGCTAATGAGGCAAAAATGTAAACAAGGATTCGTCTATACACTAAAAGGAAAATTGGCCAAAACTGTGGAAGTGGCATCCAAAAGGGGTCCGCAATGCAAATGACGAAAGATGCAGTCGTACCCTAAAGTTGACAGCAAAATATACTCCGATACACTGTTAGTGCTTTTTTTGGGACATTGCGATACAGTAAATGGGAACCGTTTGGCCGGCGTGGCACTTATAATTACAAACTCTGGTTTAACATTTCAATATTTTCTGGTATTTTGATTTAAGTGACTAATCATCAAAATGCTACTTAACTTCCTCAATTGAAAATATTTCATCCCTTTTTGAAGCTGTGTGCAAGCAGAGCCTCCTGTTAACGCTTCCACTAGAGACGAATTTTGTATCCTCTACAACTACACTAAAGGAGAACTTTGCAAGGGCATTATCACTAGTCTCTACGTCTTTGGCAACCAAAGAACGGTGGATTATGGTGACTTTCAAACATTGAACTTCCAAGGCTATTTCTTCAACTTCCTTGAAATATCAAAGGAGTGCAGGATAATCATGAGAGATTTGTTTTGCCGATATCATTTCCCGCCATGTGATACGTCTTTACGGATACCTCGACCTCGGCGGATTTGTCGCAGGTCGTGCGAATATCTTGATCATGTCCTGTGCTTGAAGGAGATGATTTCAGTCAGGATCGCGGCAAAGACAGCTCCAGGATTTGACCACAAAATGATCAACTGCTCAACTTTTGATGTTGCTAACGGAGGTGACGCTCCTGAGTGCTATCAATACCAGCCCCTGCCAGGTTTGTACTTGTAAATTTGGAAAACAAGACATAAAACCAAATAGTAAATCCACTAAAACTTGTTTTCTTCCTTGAAGTTGTATGGCTCCTTTACAAAGGTGATTCAAGATTATAAAAAAAAATTGCCTCCAAGGCTCATTTTTCGAAGACTTTTGTTGTGAGGATAATAGTTGATTAGTAAGCAGTACATAGTTTACATTCAATTGTATCTTGAGTGATAAACAGAAAGCCGGCTCGACCGCTCGAGTTGGTCCCTGCCGTCGTTTAGTCTTTTTGTTTGACTCTCTATATGAGCAGACACATCACTCTGAGCAGTTACGTTCCTAAACGTCTCCGTCCAACTGTGACGGTAGCAGCCAATTAACTTAACCTTTCGAACCCCAATATCCAAATACGAATTTTAGATCATTGATCTCCATACATTTCCTTTACCCTATTCAGACGGGGGCAGAGGAGAGGGGGAATTTTTTAGGGCCCCGCGCAAAAATAAAAGGAACAAATTCAAGACTAATTAAGCTAGGACTACCAAACCTAGCGACTTTTCCTAAAATTACAGGAGATTTCTGGGAACATCTTAAAGTTGGCGCAACGTGCACGTCAACAATCACGTTACCATGGCAACCTTGTTTCGGCAGCCATGTTTTTTTTAAAATTGCCCTTAATGCTTTCTAAGCATCCCTTTATACATAGATCATTTTTATCAATTCAAAATGGCGGACGGTTCCAGATCCTTCTGTAACCGGAAATGACGTCATCGTAACATTACTGCTATCGTCAAAGGTTATTTAATGTGTTGACCAGCTTCTTGATTTTGTCAAACGCCTTACTATTTAAGTATTAATTTCGCTTTAATGGTGGAATTTGAATTTTGCCCATTAATTTAACAAAATGCGCCAAGATGACGTCAACGCCATTGTGTCTATCACGGTTTCCCTAGTTGTTGCAAATGATCAGTATATTATTCTGTGTAATTTTGGTGGAGGTTTTGAAGATATGATGGGGGACCTACGGAGTTTCCGCTCCCCGTCGCAGAAAGCAAACCCTCGAAATAAAGGAGTAGTCGAGGGAAATCAAAACACTTTCATCTTTTTAATATTATTCGCTGAAAATGTTTGTCGGTGACTGTTGCGACTAGGGGGGGGGCACCTATCAATTAAAACATTTATAAGGCAAAATTTTGCTTCTGCTAGATCTTTTAAAGATGGCATTTCTGACAGTTTAGTATAACGGAGCAGTGAGATTACTATGCACGGACCAGAGGACTGGGCCGGCTATGAGGAATTGTTAGTGGTAGCTTTTTGATACTTGTTTATTTGTACGTTGTATTTTTGAACCAGTCTAGGTCAGCATTCATTAGAGCTTCGTACTTTTATTATATTTGCCTATTTTGTTATTTTGTTTACAGACATTTGTTGGCAGCTAGTTTTTGCGTACCACTGCCCCGAGTTGTGGGCACCCCATCCCACCACACCCCACCCGGCGAGAAATTCAAAAATAAAAGCCTAATATTAACTCTTTAACCAAATGAGCTTTTCAATTTTTTTTTTCACATTTTATTTTATTGCGTCGTGCTCTTTTTTATTTATTTTTATTTATTTCTTTTGCCATATCTTGAAATTTTAATTTTGCTGTCAATCTTGTGACTTCATTTTCCTGCCAAAGAAAAGTTAAAATCGAAAAACAAAAACTTTGGAATACAAAGTTTTACCATCCTGCAAAGTTTGAGCTCAAACGAATAAAAATTGCAAAAGAAGTTCCTAGAATGCACTTTTAGGCGTCCTAATCTGCACCCACCGTGCGTGAACGCTTGAAATTATGCGTTCATCTTTTATCCTGTTATGTACATCTCGTGCATACGCTTGAATTAACAACATAACAATTTGCTTAAGTTTTGCCTCACAACCTTAAAGGGTTAACATATATCTCTGTCGTCCTAGAATCACCCAGGAATTTCTGAATTTTTTATTCATATGGAGAGAGTCCCCTCCCTCGAAATAGAACGAAGCATCAAAATTAACTCACTTTTTTCTCTTTTACACAGACGATGATACTAAGAGCACAGGTGAGTTTCGAGCTTTTGACCTACTCTATCCCAGTACTCACGTCATTTAGCTGTCTAATAAACTATACCCAATCCTTTTATTTTAGGGGGACTTATATTTCCTAGGATAGTTCCACCATCTAAAGAAAAAAGCACCCAATTTACAACATTGTCGAGTTTTAATGTTGAAAATTGTATATCCCAGAATCATTTGTAGCAGCTGTAAAGACAACAACAAATGAAAGTAGTTTTCTACACAATTAGTAACGTCCAAAAATAATAAAAAGTGTACATAACACCCACGTACTATTTATTTCGATTTTGTCAACTTTCTTGTAAGCGCGGATCCACACCGGTTTCCACCTTTTTACGCAAATTGGTCAGAGTTTTCATAGGAAACATATTTTAATATATAAATATATATGTAAATTGCACTCGGAAGAATGGCTTCTGCCTTCATCAGGGGTTTCTTCTTCGGGTATAATTACAAATGATTAGACGTAATAAAGAGAGTGATTTAGTAGTAACGTGTCAATTAGTTCTGGACGTGACGTTTTTGTGGACTAGAGCAGAAGGCCCTTTAATAACTTATGTTTTTAAACATTATTAACATTGACATTTGGCGCTTGTTTAGGAAATAGGTCAGGTTTTTAACCTACATCCACCCCTGGGAGAGACGGTTTATAATCTACTTTATATGGATGAAGGTTAGAATTAGATGAGACGCAGCGTCCCCCCATGCATCATCTGTTTAAACTTGGACTTGCCCCCAACCCCGATACTTCCGAAACAAAGATGGCCATCTGTTATAGTAGGCACAGGGTCATTGCGATCGTAGTGAAAAGTGGAGACTATCAACAGGTGTGAAAAAGTTAAGAAACACTTTTAAAAAGAGACCAGTGATGTCTTGATGAAAGCAATAGCTGGCTATCCACAGATTGCTACTACGACATTGGTGTTGGATATAGCGGTACCGTGAACATCACCCGTTCTGGCCGTAGTTGTCAGCGTTGGGCCTCACAATGTCCCCACCGTCACTGGCGGATTCCTCAAGATGGAGGCCAGAATGGCTCCAACATGTGTCGCAACCCAGAGGGAAGTGCCCCGGATGGACCTTGGTGTTATACCACTGACCCCAAAGTTCGATGGGAATACTGCAATATATCAAGATGTCCTCCAAGAGGTAAACTCAGTATGTCTATTTCTCTAGAACTCGTTTAAACCAGTTTACTGTTTGAAATGGCCAACATATATATTAGCCTCGGAAAATCGGCATTCCGCAACGCCTGTGACCACTGTCTTTTTTCCCTCGAAATGACGCCTGAGAAATGCCTGAAGAAATCCCATACTGATCACGTGTGACTACCTAGATCTGGATAATGATTCTGATAAGTTGAAGCATATTTCCCTCGCGGCACGGCCAATCAGAAACATTTTTAGATGGTGAAACGTCATCAGTTTGGAATTTCTTCGCTCGTTTCTTAGAAGTCATTTCGAGGGGAAACCAGTGAGCATGACGTCACGAAATATCGATTGTTTTCGTAGGCTACCAACAAATGCTTCATTTCCTATGAAACTACCTAGTAGACACTCTAGAGTAGACAACTTAACTAAAACAACGTTTAGTGTGGTTTTAATTAATACATAGCTACAACAACATCAAAGTTTGTAGAATAATTTTAAATCTGGCTATTCAATTTGCTGACGAAATTATTGACACGTCTTCTTCTGCTGCTTAACTAGTTCCACAGGAGATTCCTAGATTGGTGAGAGGCTACCCTCTCAATTCGTCTGCAGTTCGTATCTATTGGGAAAAAATCCCCCCAACGTCGTACAAGGAAAAACTGCAAGGTTACAGGATAAGATACAAACGCCTTGGGTCCCTGACATATAAGGAATTAAGCGTCACAAGGAACGTCACAGATGCTGTCATTGATGGACTTCTCCCAAATACAGAATACCAGATCGAAGTAAATGGATTTAACAAAGTCGGTCATGGGCCAGCCGGCAAGATGTTTAAACTAAAAACTTTGTCACCTGGTGAGTGAGGAAGTAAAGAGATTGCTTTTAAGGACACCTGTAACTATCGCTAGTCTTAGGCCACCTTTACTCTATCGAGTAAATATTTAATTGTTTGTAAGGACGTGATCGATTGACCGTATTCCGGAATAACAATAAATGAAATGAACTCTAGAAATTACTTATTTTGGCAAACATTGCGCTGCAATATCACGAATTTACTTGAAATAAAATATCCCGATGTAAGTAGCGTTTAAATGGTCAAAAAATCAAGGTTGAAGAGATTTGTAACCAAACTTTTTCGTATTCTTATTCCGGATAACGACCAATCGAATGCACCCTTACTTTATGAGGATTAAATTCAAGAGCAGTATGAAAATGCCCATCGCATCAAAAACTCGACGCGCGAGGACGTCACATTTCGCGTTTCTGACTAAGACACATTAATTTGGAACGTAATGAAACCATGCCTCAGTTAATAACTCTAACATAACAGCTTCATAATCCACAAGTCATAATGTACCTACCAGTATTCATAGAATAGTTTTCAAAACTCAGTGTCAATTTATTTATTTCCAGGTTTTGTCAGTATTTACGTCACCTTACAGCTGGTGATGCAAGGTGAATTTGACAATGTTCACCTAAACCGTAGCAGCGCTAAGTTTATAGAAAAGAAACGATGGATTAAAACAACGGTAATGGAGTAATTTAAGGTTTTTAACGACAGTTTCTACGCGTGATTCCAAGCTTTACTCATAAAACACAAGGTCTTAATTAGCTGTGTTCTTTGGGCTATCTCAAGTGCATTAAGGTTTGGAGTTTTTCAATATAGAGGACCCCCAGCAGAAATTTTAGGACAGCACACTAGAAGCCAGTAAGATTAAGTTTGCCTCAGTCGTAGAAGAGTTAACATTTGACGTGTTTGATCGAACAAAAGTTTTATATACCGTCACGTGATTTTCCGCTCCTGATGACGTCACAAAACATGTTTCTTCTTATAGGGTACATCTGCACATTAAAAATTCAAAACTTTTTGAGGTCAAAATAGTATAAAGATCGTTGCTAAAACGATTCTCATTTTAAGGCAGCATTCATTGAATGCTTTATCAGTTATTATTATATTTGTTAAGTCACGTGACCTTTTTACTTCAATGACGGTTATCGATAACACATGGATTGACTACAAGGCAGCATTCTAAAGTCTTTCATAGAAGCCACTGAAAAACGATAAGATAATGCCAATTTAGTTTGACTAAGCATCTGACCGTTACAAGCCGAGGGTAAGTCACGTAAGACTGACAGTAAAAAATCTCATCAAATGGAATCTAGCGTAGGTAGAAAACTGCTCACCAAGTTTCACAAACACGACAGAAATGTTTCTACTTGAAATTAAAACCCACTAAATTCGTGGTTAATACACATAAGTATGTAGGATGGAGCCGTGTCAAATGTTCTGTATTTTCTAGAGGGTTTTATAGAGTTGAATTCGGCTTGTCGGTTTTACC